AGAAAGTAAGAAAAAATGGTAAAAAAGAATAAAAAATAATCTGAAAATCGTTTTTTTTTTTTTTTTGCTTCTCACTCTCCTTTGGGAGAGTGAAATACACACACTCTGCCACGTCAGCGCTAAGGGTGCAAATAATTCCATTTAAAAAAAGTTTAGGGGGGTAATAGGATTGCCGCAAAGAAAAAGTGTGTAGTTGGGAATCCGGGTATAGGTCAGGGGGGTACTTATGCATTTTCCCTTATTATTTTTATGGGTTGAATTTGATGGAATTATTTAGAGGTTATCAGATTGATGTTAATTTGTATTTTAGATTAACTAGATTCTCTGCACGTGCATTGCACGTGTATTCTATGACATTTTTTAACAGAATATGTATAGTAATAATAGTAAGAGCATACGTGCTTGAAAAATATTTGATTTTGTTATAAATTACAAATTTAACTATACCAAAAGCTTAGGATTTCACGTAACTTTAAGACTTTTAGGAATAAAATTGGGCATACTCTCCGATCAACTCTATCCATCATACTGTCAGCCATGGTCATTGACATGAATAGAGTTTAAGAAAACGTAATAAATAAGCACTCTACATATGTCATTACAAAATGCAAAATTTGAACTTAGCACGTCTTAATTAATAATGTGAATACTATTCAGGCAATACAAATCATGAAAAATTATTCACAGTTTAATAATGTATATAAAAACTGCATAAGTTATCACTTACAATCCAAATAATGATCCTTTCTGCCTCATGGAGCAACCTCCACTTTCGAAAACCCGTGCAATCAAAATTTTGCGACCATTATATTCTAAATAAATGGATTAAAAATTATCTGATATTGTGATATATTATTCCATCCGTTCCAATTTATGCGAACCTGTTTGACTGGGCACTGAGTTTAAGAAAAAAAAATTAAAACGGACTAAAAAGGAAATAGGTTCACATAAACTGGAATTGAGGGAGTAATATATTATAATCCTTTGCATTATAAAAACTGGTTAATAAAGAGATGTAGTGTGCATTTTAATATTTGAATCGTACAATAAAGTGTAAAGAATTTAGGATTGATTTACACCCTAAAAGTATTGTGAGTAGTGCAGGTATTTACCCTCATTTGTGAGGAATTCAGTTTTCATATGCATGAACTAACGTACAGCAGATAATAAAAACGCAAAAAAGCAAGAAGTACTTCGAAAAGAAATTAAGATCTATAGTTTTTTCCTTTTTCTTTTAAATTTACTTTCATTTTTGTCTATTAAAAATATAAGAATGGTAAATGATAATATTTAGATAGGAATACAGGCTACAGAACAGAAAACAACCCATAGGAGCTGCTCATTTACTTCTAATCTCATTAAATTCAACACATAGAAGTTCTTTTTTGTTTTTAATTTTACCTTTGAATTTAATTTATTTTAATTAACTTAGTTAGGGACATTATGTAGGATCCCTATTATTTCGAGATTAAATGTCTCAATTTGAAATACTTAAGTTGTATTTGTTGCAAAATTATATTATGAAAATATCTAAATTAATTTCCTCCTTTTATTGGTTTTTTATTTTTGCTTGTTTCATTAATGTTGTTGTGTCACAAGACCCAAATCAGCATAAGACTCAACCCAATAAACCATTTCTTCTTTACTTTTTTAAAGATCTTAAATACAACAACCAAGTCTCATGCATCTATACTAATAATACTTGAACAAATATATTGCAATATTTACTATGAGTGCATGACTACCGGGGTAGAAAATCAAAGACTACATAAGCAATAACCAACAAGGTGGAGTTAATATCGCGACAACCATCCTCAATATTTGATTTATCTTATAAAATACATGAGCAATAATTCTACACAATGCGATATTAGTAGGGTATCATGAATAGAGAGAACAAATGCTTCAGTAGTTTCCTTTCCTCATTTCTTAAAATTTAATGATGACCGAACTCAAAAACATAAAGAAAAGTTTTGTTAATATTTTATTCATTCATTTTTCGAACATTAACACCGTTTGTGAATTAAACATTCGAGACTTGATGCGTGCACAATTTAATGACAGAAAAGACACATTGTAAGAGAAGAATACCTGTTGCGGCCAAACGCACACGCAAATATACGCGGTCGTCAAGTAATAAAGTGACTAAAACTCGGATGTCGATCCCACGAGGACTTGTGATTAACTATTAACTAAATTAGACTATCCTAATTATCTAAACAAGAATTAAACCTAGAAATATTTGATTCTAAACTAATTAAATAAAGAAATATAAATAATGAACTTTGAACAGAGAAAGAGCAGATTTTTATGATATCAATGTGATGAAAACGATCTAGGGTTATGGGCTATCTAACATTCCTATTGTATTCTTCAATTGAATTGACTAACTAATTTATCTAGTTTATTGGTTAACAGGATTAATATTGCTCATAAGAATCTGTCGAGTTCTTACTCGCCTATTCAAGCTAACCTAACTCCTATATGTCTATGGAATTAGAACTAACAAGACCGCATTTATAATTCCTGTAAATCAACCAAGCAAGGCAATTAAGTATATGTTTATCCTAACCGCGAATCCGTTCCCCGATGCCCAGGTTCAAGAACTTGCTCTACTCAATCCTATATGCAATCTAAAATTCCCACTTTCGAGTTCAATTCAAGATTCGTAGAAAGTATTCAATTGGTGATCAAGCAATCAAATAATTAAGTGCAGGATTAAGTAAATAAATCAATATGATAAACTAAGAAATCAAAATCAATATTCGAATAACTATAGTCATGAAAGAACCACAACCATAGAACATGAAGTTTAGCTCCACATAGACATGGTAGCAAAACAACAAATCATACAAAGAAACATAAAAAGACTAAGTTTGGTGGGAGAAAAGATGAAACCCGGCCTCCACGGCGGCTCTGTGCTCTTCCTTGGTCAAAAATTATGTAAAAATTGTGTTTAAGGACTATTTATAGGTGTAGGATAAAAGCCTAGGTGAAATAACCAAATCCAAAACCAAAATGGAGACAAAATAACTTCAGAACTAGACCCGGGCATCGCAGCGTGAAACGCCTAAACTTTCTCGCGTCGCTGCCTTTAACGCAAGGAAATAATCTCGCCTCGCCTGCTTCTTTGCCTCTTCACGTTATTCCTTAGGTGTTTGCAGTCAAGTATAAATATTTGTGTTTCATGTCTTCTGTTTCCTCCACGTACCCTCTTCCCAAGGTATAATGAGTTACTTTCCTTTCTTTATTTTTGTTTTACTTTATCCTATAATTGTCCCATAATGTCCAGTCATTAGATACTCATGATCTAATCATTAGTGTATCAAATACACTGCACAATCTTTACTTTGCTCCAATTTTATCTCCAAAGTACCTACACATAAAATAAACTCAATTAAGCACATATGTAATACAATTTAGCATTAAAGTGTTGGGCTTAAACTGCCCAATGACACTCTTAACATGGTGTGATATTGTCCGCTTTGGGCCAAGCCCGGACGATTTTTTCCAAAAGGCCTCACACCATTAAGAGATCCCTACACCTTATATGTAGACTCCCAATCTTTTCAGCTACCAATGTGGTACTTTGTTCGCACACCTAACAATCTCCCCCTCGAACTAAGTTCCACGTGGCCCATTACCACGATCCACGGGTCAATTTTCTAGATTACTGTGTGTCACCCACATTGTTAGAGTATTATGGCAACCGAAGCCCGCAACTAGCTTATTCTTGTGTGCGTGCCGCCCCGCACCATCACTCCGCCATCTCCATACTCGTCCCACTGAACCTAGGCTCTGATACCAGTTGTTGGGCTTAAACGGCCCAATGACACTTTTAACATGGTGTGATATTATCCGCTTTGGGTCAAGCCCATACGGTTTTCCCCAAATGGCCTCACACCATTAAGAGATCCCTACACCTTATATGTAGACTCCCAATCTTTTCAGCTACCAATGTGGTACTTTGTTCTCACACCCAACAAATGGTGGCCCATGCAGGTCTCTGAAAGTAATATTGTCCGCTTTGGGCCAAGCCCGCACGGTTTTCCCCAAAAGGCCTCTGAAAGTAAGCATCTAACTCTCTCAACTAGAGTTCTATTCATCCTCTCTGCCAAACCATTCAATTGAGGCGTCTTGGGCGGAGTTTTCTGATGACGAATTCCTTGTTCCTTGCAATAGTTATCAAAGGGACCACAATATTCACCACCATTGTCAGTGCGAATACATTTTAATTTCTTCCCNTGTTTCCTTAAGGAATTTAATCCCCTCCTAGTACCCAAGGTTGTGGATTATTTCCTCCCAGGATAGAACGAATACACACTGGTGTAGTAGTACTTCAAACCCCAGTGTTTCAGCGAACACAAAGTTCGGTAGCAAATCACACTTACTGCTGCTTTGTTTGATGTTAAAAGTATGCAGAAGAAGAAGGAGAAACTCAGAAAATCGTATGGAAATTCTAAGCAGAATAGTCTTGTAATTATAGCCAAAGTTGGGCTGAAATCTGAAGAGGTGCAACTCTTCAGAATGACTGTTTATGCAAAACGGCCACAGCATAAATGCCATAACATAAATGACTATTTACTCAACAATAAAGAGGGAAAATAAAGGGGGAAAATTGAAGAGAGTAGTTTAATTTCCAGTTACACAACTGAAAAACGGATTGGATTTAATATTAATATTTATTAATATTAAAACAAATATTTAATAACATTTCTGTTAATATTTTACTATTAACGAATAAATTTGGTCCAAAAAATTAATCAATCAATTGACCAAAGCCGAAGTCGAAGCCGAGCGACAACGACGGCGCGAGGCTTGCCTTCTTCTCAACTCTTTAAGAGCTAGAAGAAGAGCAATTGCTTATATACCCATAAAAAACCTCTTCCTCTTCCAATATGGGACAATGTCCTTTTGCCAAGGGGGGAAACTTAAAATTTCACTAAAAGAATTCATTTCCCTCTATTTCCCATTCACCCTATTTTAAGCGTATCATATACTTAAAATCCCAACAAGTGCAACATCAAAATTATTGGCATCACAAGCCAAAGTAATAAGCATAGTAAACGTTGCATAATCTGGAAGGCATCCATTTTGCATCATCTTCTCATACCACATTTTAGCCTCCTTTAGATTCCTCTGAGCAACATACATTTTTATCATAGCATTGTAACTGAATGTGTCCGGTTTGAAACCCTTGTTAACAATCTCCTTGAAGAACTGAATCGCTTCAGAAACCTCATTAGCTTTAACCAAACCATTTAATTTAATATTATACTGTAAAGGTCAGGGACTATATGTCTCTTTTCCATCACAACCCACAAATTTTCAGTTTCAGAAAACCTTTTACTTATATGAAATGCGTTTAATAACGTACTACAAGTCACAATATTCGGCTTGATCTCATGCTTTTCCATCTCATCCATAAAATACACGGCTGAATCCAATGAACCCTCCTTATATAATGCCTTAATGGCAGTGTTATTCGACACTAAATCAGGCTCAATTGACAATTTCTGGGGCAATTTGTTAAATAACCCGCCAATTTTATCATATCTCTCTGACTTAAGACATGCCTCCAAAAGGGCATTGAAGGAAAAGACAGAGCGCGGACAATTTAGCTGAGGCATTTCGTCGAACAACTTACGGGCATTATCATACATTTTGGCTTTGCCAAAAAGAAGAATAAGACGGGCGACAAAGTACTCATTACGAATATCTGGGTAGTGTTTTTGATGCTCAATAATATCTTCAACGCCGGAGAAATGGTTGGCGTGGGCAAGTTGGCGAACGGTGATTTCACAATGGAAGCGTTGGCGTTGGAATTGGGGCATTCCGATGATCTTTCAAAATAATCTACAATTGCTTGGTGTGTGCGACAGCTGGGTCTTGAAGAAGTAATGGTGGCTTTTGTTGTTGTGATATCTATAATTTTGGTGGGTGCATTGTGGTTTCCGGCGAGAAGACGGCGGAGAGTTGAAGAAGTAGACATCTGATTGGCTTATTTTGGCACTGAGTACCAGCTCGCCAAATTGATCTACAATGTTACCATTTCTTACCTTACATCCTGTAGTATTTTTATGTAATTTTTGCATAAGCGGATTTTTACTTTGCATGTGATTCTTTGTTTTTGTGATGTGAATAGATTTTTGAAATGAATTTAATTTCAATAATAGTTTGAAAAATATTTGTATATCAGTGTAATTTAACTTGTCTAATATTTACCTGTCTAATTTTCACATTACTAATTCTTTTTATTTTAAATTTGAACAGGGTTTGTCTTTAGACTTGCTAATAAATGCAAGGTGAAAAGAATGAAAGCGGCAAAAATAGGATTTAGTATTTGGAACAAATTAAGCTGAAGTTTTTAAAGAAAAAGAGTAACAATTAGGGCTAAAAATCCCTCATTTGCTTGGTTAACCCACAAAATTGCGATATTGTGTTTTGTGATAAACCTTGATTACCAAGTGGAACATGTCATGTAAATATTTGAAAATGGAAAAAGTTCAAATATATACCGGTTAAAGTACAGACTACATGCTTGGAATAACATAAACTCTTTCTAATGCTTTACAAAATCAGGTTGTACTTAAGATATTATTCTTGTCAGTAGTGAAAAAGTGAAATGAGAATAAAAATTCCTGCTTAAAGCAGCTCTGGTCACTCATTTGTACTTTCTAGTGCCAGTAATACAGTAACAACCACAAAACAGTCACAAACATAACTAACATTCCCACCCTTCCATTCTTCTTTCTCTTTTAGTTTCCACTCTTTAACCCATTTATGTAAGGATCTAAAAAGTTATACTTACTCCATTTTAATTTATGTCAACCTATTTGTCTTGACACGTAGTTTATGAAAAACAACAAGATATTTAAATTTGTAGTGTAAAATAAGGCACATATATTTTATTTGATTATACATAAAGGTAAATTGTTTTCAAATAAGGAAAGTGGTCATTCTTTTTGGCACGGACTAAAAAGAAAATAGGGTCACATAAATTGAAAGAGAGGGAGTAGTAGCTAATTATATAAGTCCTTATAAAGGAAAAAGATTGTGATAAGTTGACAATTAGCGCGTAAATATAGTGAAAATGTGTCCGGATACGTGTCGGATCCTCCAAAAGTAGTGCATTTTTGAAGGATCCGACACGAGTGCGGCTACATTTTGAAAACATAGGCTAACCCCAACTTTTTGGGATTGAGACATAGTTGTTTGGCAGTATGTGGACTTTCCATTCAGTCATTATTATATCCTCACTAGTTAATTATGGAGTCGTATATGAGTTTTCTCCAATAGTTCATCAATATTGAAAAGTATAAGGCCAAAAAAGCAATATTGTAGTGCCTGAACCTCTATTTAGACACTCTCTTTCTCGTGCCAAAAATGAGTCCTTTCAAACCACCCCAAGTACATTATGATCAATTAGGAAATGCCCAACAAACTGCAACAAGAAGATTCCCACCACCAAGAAATGTTTCTGTTGTGAGGAGCACCTATATAAACCTATTGCCTGCCTACAACAAAAACCAGTGCAGTGCCTCTATTTTGTGCTGCACTCAACATTAATCATTAGCACCTGCTCTCCCTCTTTAGATTTCCTTTCTAATTTTAGGAATCCATTTTTAACATACTGTATCAATTCTCTTTTTGACTTGCATTAAATGATAATTAAGTGTGATAAAATGGAATTTCCCAACGCTCCATATGATGATTCAAACATATCTGAAGGAAGTAAAATAGGAGGGAAAATGGATAAAAGGAATCAAATTGAGGGAGAAGTTAAAGAATACAAATCCAAGAACCTTGATGCTGAGAGAAGGAGGCGTCAAAAACTTAGTGAAAGGCTTCTTGAATTGCGCTCTTTGGTCCCAAACATTACAAATGCAATGAATCAAAACCCTTTATTTTAATATACAAATCCTAGTGACATTTTTCTAAAGAATGTATCTAAACCATTTTCTAAAATCTTAAATTCTTTTTTGATTTCAGATGACAAAAGAAACCATAATTACTGATGCCATCACTTACATTAGGGAACTACAGACAAATGTGAACAACCTAAGTGAGCAGCTTCTAGAAATGGAGGCAACTCATGGAGAGGAATTGGAGACAAAAAGTGAAGAGAACATTGATACTGCCGAGGAGATGGCTAACTGGGGCATAGAGGTAGGTAAATTTATGTATAAACCAAAGTTACAATCTTTAATTCTTCAATTACTAAAATTTAATTTCCTAATCTACTACTACTAGACATTTAAACAAATTATTTTTTCCTAAAATAGCCTGAAGTTCAAGTGGCTCACATTGGTACAAGTAAACTTTGGATAAAGATAGTCTGCCAGAAGAAAAGAGGTGGATTTACTAAACTGATGGAGGCAATGAATATTCTTGGATTTGATCTCAATGACACCAGTGTCACTGCCTCTAAAGGAGTTTTTCTTGTTACTTCATCTGTGGAGGTAGGCAAACATATTATATTGTTAAAAAAGTAAGATTTTTAGTGTAGCAATTTCCAACCATTACATGAGGATATATCAAGATTTTGTAATAGCACAGATAAGATATCTTGCTTACCATTTTGTACTCTGTGTCCTGCAATATAAGAACATGAACAATTTGTTTATCTTTCTATGTATTTCAGGTGGTTCGCGGGGGACTAATTGATGCTCATCAAATCAGAGAGATATTGCTGGAAATCATCCGCGGCATATAGAGAAACTAGCAGCAGCATGAGTCCCTAATTATTCTAGTAATATTAGTCTCATTTTAGTGCTCTTTTACCATATATTCTAACAGGAATTAGATTTTTTGGAGAAATGCCAGAGTACCTTTAACTTTTGGTTATGAATGTCAAAAGGATTTAATCATGTTTTCCATCATTAAAAGATGAAAATCCTTTGTATCCAAATTGTCTGAAAAGAGCTTGTGTGAATTCCTTTTTTTTACACCTTCTTCCAAATATTTCTGAAGCAACATATCATATATTTCTAATCACTTTCTCCTATCTAAAGTCTATAGCTTTTCATGCAGTCAAGTTTGACTTAATTCATCTTTGAATATAATATGCTTTAACACCCCAAACTTTAGACAGAGTCCCACATCGTCAAAACACAAGAGGGATGCTGGGTATATAAGTTAACAAGCCTTAAACCTTAGTGATGCGTTTTAAACCTGCCTAAGTCTAGAGCGGACAATATCACTAGCGGGCTGGGTTGTTAGAGCTTTTGACTTGAATCTTCAATGGTGGGATCCAGACTCCACACTTTTTGGCTTCTAGATATGAAAATATGTTTACTAATTTTGGTCACTTCCAGCTCAAGAAACAGGTTAAATAAGACCAGTGAAGTATGCTCTGGGTTGGAATAAAATATTGAACGAACACCAATATTAGACGTGTGAAGAGTAGAGAAGACTGTTGTTTCACTGTCTGTCTTATCTTCTTCTCTATTCCCGTCCTAAAAAAACTGTGAAAAATAAACCTGCCCTTGTTAAAACTATCTCCAAACAGGTCAAGAATCCAACAAAGAACACTAGGAAAACCAAATTGGACGTCAAATTTTCAAAATTTATGACCATGGAAAGTGTACCTACCCTTGTAATAATATTAACACGAAAAAGACTCAACCAAGTCTGTCTTCCTCTATTAATAGGATTCAAGGCTTGCACAACTAGGACTTAGCAAAACTCTTCTACGTCCGAGCTTCATATTTCCTATGGCTAGGCTCAGGTTTCTCCACATTTGCCTAGTTTTAGCTCAGTTAGTCTTGCTTATGCAAAATGCTTACGCGCTTAGTAGATTAGAGGCCTTGATATTAGTCCCAACACCTGCGCCATTTGAAGGAGGAACAGGCAGAGGAAAAGGTGATCAGACTCCGGCAATCATACATATAAGGACTCATCACTCTTTTGATAAGTCCATGGCTGGTGGAGACTTGATCCTTGGAGGCTTTGCCATTGCCCTTATTGCTTCCATTTTTTGTTATATTCGAGTCACACGAAGAAGAACTGAACATAGTCAGGGCTGAGACATACCATTCTGATTTTGTTACTCCTTTTGGTTTCCAATTCAGATATTTACAGGGTTCAATGTTAAGTTACTCACATATATGACAAGCTTTTGCTCATTTTAGATGGCTAAGTAATCTAATTACATATATCTAGCTAATAGAGTAGTATTTAAGTTTGGTAAAACTGTTGAAGATATTCTAAAAAGGGTTATATTTGTCTATGACCAAATATTTTCATTTTTCCATCAGGGCACATGCCTAAGCCCAAGTGGCAACATGAGGGGGACCTACGGCTCTCGTGAATTATACTTCCTACTCGTATATATATGGAACAAATTTAGTTTTATGACTTTGATGCAATAAATACATAAGTGACTATATATTAAATTTAACCCGAATTTTTCATTTTGAGGAATGAAAAAAATAACAAAACAAAAAGAGTCTTTGATCCGCGAAGGATTCATCTCAAAAAGACATTTTACATAAAATCCAAGACTTCAATATTGGAAATTGTAGATACATAAGATCCAAATTGAAGTTCAATAATGCAAATAAACAAAGCAAACGACTCTTAACCAGCAAAGCTTCAGCTCTAGACAAAGTCATTTTAGACAAGATCCAAAACTACAATAATGTAAATTGTATATTTGTAGATATAGAGGACAAACATAGGAAGATGAAAAAAGATTGCACAACAAACTTGACACCATTCTAACCACCTATATCATTTTCACGAATCAATAGCATAAACCTGATTTAGGAGGATCTTTCTCTTTTTTCTTCAAGAAGCTTAATAATCAACTTGAAATCCATCATGATAATTACAATCTTCCTTAACAATTTTTCTTATTCAATCAAAATTAATAATCTGACCAAACCTGTGGACCCAAGGCTAGTAGCTGGTCAGCAAAAAGTTTAGTATAAAGTCTAATATTGATACTATTAACACATGGATCTACAGGCCACCCTGGTCTTTTCAAGCTTAAAGATTACAAATTATTTCTGTGGCCCACATTGCCCCTCATAATTGATATAATAGGTCATGCAATTACAGGAATGCAAATAAACCTTTTCATGCATATTGCTGCAGAAATGGATACAAATTAAATTGGTGCTACATATTTTCTTTCATTTCTTCCAAAGCATTAGTGTGACCCTCCTAGCTACAAGTTATATAATGTCTAACTCACGGGTAATTCGACCTGTAAAACTCTAGCTATATATGCACAATAACCATGAGTTACCACATAATTAACATGCAATTCTATCTTTGACTATAGCTTGGACTATGCATCAATTTAGTCACTCCTTTTTTTTTTTACTATGAGACTTCTTACTGGAGAGTCAAAGAAGGGTCTCCTTGATCACAATTTTTTTGAAACTGTATTATATTTTTAATTATTTATTGTGATTTATAGTACTATTATATAGTTTTTATATATGTAAAATTTATTTAACAAAGACATGAAAAATTTATATCGGAATTTACACAGAAAATTTGTTTAAGCGAGCTTAATTCTGTCATATACACTGGAACGGAAGGAGAATATCTGTAACATGATCAATGACTGATTCAGAATTCTAAACCAAGGTATGTTTAGGATTCGGAATTATAAGATACTATACCCGGTACTTTTTGGGTTAGTGCGAATTTATAATACAAATATATTGTTTTCGGATTTTTCAACCATATATGCATACAGTTGGAGTATAATGCGATTGGCTGACGTACCCCCTCCGGCCGCCGAAAGCTATATCCGCCCCTGTCACATGTGTTATTTTATATTTGACTATGACCAAATTTAATTGAAGTCTGGTCATTCTCGAAATTAACTGTCATAAATGTCATTACCTTGATTATTCCTGTTATATTTGTCTTCATTTTGAGTCAGAGTAGGCCAAGATTTAATGGTTGTAGCAGCCAAAGCAGATAATAATGATTTGAATAGGAAGTTACTCCTATTATTTTAGGACAGAAGAAAAAATAGAAGTACACCATAGATGCTCACACGATATATTTCTGCTTTGGGTATTTCATGACTCATGATATATCAATTTCAACAGGCAAGGATTATTTAAAAGAAGATTTCAAAATTTTCTCAGTTTCTTTCCAAAACTTTATACTGTTAGTTTCCACTTTATACAACCCTACAAGCACCTAAATGAGAACCTCAATGCACTTTTTCTTTATCAAGCTTCAAGTCTTCAACCATCCTCAAATTGAGACAAAGCCAAAGCCAAAATTTAAAAACAGAACCAAAATTGGAAATATATCAGATTCCACTGACTGCAAGATCTTTATATCTTTCAATCTGAAATCCAGCCTCTTTCCTTCCTTCCTTCTTCATTAACACACCTGCATTTCCTGCAATGAAATTTAAGCTTAGATGTTAGAAAGAACACATATTTTCCATCTTCTATTAGGTTCAGAACAAACAAATTTCAGATCCAATTATACTAGTACCACTCCAGAGGCGGATGTTGTGTAGTTCCGAGGGATTCAACTGAACTCACTATTTTTTTCATGGAACATATATATAAATGCAGTGAATTCAGTGGTGGTAACATAAACATTAAACTCGCCAAATTTAAATTCTGGATGCTCCAGCCACTTCTATAACCAAACATAATAAAAGGTGTTGACCGATAAAAATTGAGATGACAAACTAGTCAAGAATATGAATCTTTACCAAGTTATATAAAGAATTAAGAAAGAGGTTACCTTGAGGACTGCAAATAGGGGGCTCTTCAAAGAGGGAAAGAGACATCTGTTTATGAGCCAAACCAATGTCAAACAAGATCAAACCAGAAGAAGGATCATAAACTATGATGTCTTTCACTGGCAACCAAAGAAACAGCTCTTCTTGAGAAAGACCTTCCACTCCAATTAATCCACCATAGCTAAGGTTAGCTCTCACAACACTGTCAAAGAACACCCTTGTCTCAAATTTTGCAACACATGGACTGTCCAAGTAGACTTGAAGATGACCATGTTGATCAAGATCATATGATTTTACAGCATTCTTTGGGAATAGCCCAGCTGGGAGGCCCTTGCTTCTGAGAAGATCATGGATTGAAGCTGAGGAAATGGTGAAAGAGAAGAGAAAGATGGATAGAAAAAGTGTATATATCTTGAGGAGGCTGTGGAAGTTGGCCATGGATTAGCTAGTGGTGTAAAAATGGTTCAAAGGGAGGAAGAAAAAAGGGTCGATTTTAACAAGGTTTATGGTGTGAGAAGGTGGGCCATATCCTCAATTATGTCTGACTAATTTACCATATT